GATCTGATCTCTACAAAAATTGAGAAAAATTAGCCAAGTGTAGTGGCGCACATCTGTAGTCTAAGCTCCTCAATTGAGGAGGCTGAGGCAGATGTACTGCTTGTGCCCAGGAGCTTGAGGCTGCAGTAAACTATGGATCCCACCACTGTACTCCAGCCTGGGCAACAGAGCAAAACCCTATCTCAGAAAAAAGTACCCCCCCTCAAAAAAGGAGAGGGGCATAATTACAGATTTGAAGCAGCCCTCACTTACCTTTCCCAAAGAGAGGAATGAAAGTCGAAGGTGTATGCCTATTTACAAATGGCTCTTCTTGGAAAAAAAGCATTGTAGAATACCAGAGAAGTGACAGGAGACATTCAGAGAGAAGGAAAAGGTGACCGAGCAATCCATTCAAGAAAGAAAGAAACCTTCAAGAAGCATCCACATGTGAGGAAGGACAAGAGGAGAGCCCTGGGGCTTCCTGCTCACCCCATGGACACTATAGGCTGAGCTGTGAGGGGACCCTCACCATCACTGCAAACACTGGATTGATGGAAGAGTTGCTTAGAGTCCATGCATAGACACTGTACTGGAGAACAGGGGCAGCAGGGATCATGGTTACTGGATCCTGGGTACTGAAAGTGATACCATTTTGAGCTTTCAGGTACAGGGCACACAGTCTGCATTGAGCTCAGCTATGAAGCAGCCACCTATGCATCACTCCAACATGGCCAGGTAAACAGCAAGCAGAGCAGACACTCCCTAGGCCATGTACTGCGACTGGAAGCTGAGTGCCCTTCTCCCTCAATGTGGGATCTGAGCAAAGGAAATACCTTAAGTATCACTGACCCACCTCATGGACCATCCATCCAGGTCCTTCCCTGCTGCCATGCCACACCTCTGGCTCTGAGTATCCTGTTGGGCTTGATCCATAGATCAACCCTCAAGGCTGTCATGACTGCAGGAACTTTAGCTCTGGCCAGAGGATCTAGTACTATCCTTGGGCCTTGAAACTCTACCTATGTGACTCCAGTGATCCTGTGTGGCCCACAACTCTGTAGCAAAGATTCTCCAGTACTGTGTGTGGACCCTAAGATTCCACCAACAAGCCTTTTCTGTTTCCACTGAGCCCAAGGTCCAAGACCCCACTAGGTTACCTTCAGCCTTCAGCTGTCATAATGGACCTGATTTTAACAAGCACCCACAGCCCAGATACCCATGACAAATGAATGCCAAGACAGGCTCACCCAGCTGCCACTGTTACCTCTTCAGAGAGCCCCCAAGCAATGAATCTCTACAATGCTAGTCTAGGTTGAGAAGGTCTTATCCAAACTCCAACTTAAGCTTTCAATGATGATCTCAGGAACAACTCACCACCTCACACAAAGATCATCCAGCACCAGACTGAACTAAGGCAATTACAGAGGAATGTAATAAAACAGAACAACTGCATCATAGTCTGTCAGTGCACCTAACCCTCTCTTGTTGGGTCAATATTCCTGAGTAGGGCACAAAAACACCATCTAAGGACCTCCCTTTCTTCTAAGTAGGAGAGTTCCAAACAAAGGAGAACAAGTGTCCTGCAGACTTATCAGCACTGAGGTGAGAGAAAGGGATTCATATAAGAAGAAACCAGCAACAGAACTCTGGTAACATGAAAAAAGAAAAGAGCTCAACACCCATAAAGGATCGCAATGGAATAGGAGTGGATGTAAACCAAAAAGAAACTTCAAAATGTAGGAAATTTAATTAAGAACATGGATGGCAATTAGGATGAATGAAAATGAAGAAAAAGTAAAAACTAACAAAAAGAAGCCCCCCAACACAATTTAAAGAAATAAAAAAAAAAAAGAAAAATCACTAAAATCTAGACAACAAAAGCGAGGATATAATAGAACTTAAAGAAATGAAGAGACATTTAGGGAATTTCAAAACAGCAGAAAGCTTCACCAATACTCTAAATCATGCAGAAGAAAGAATCTCAGAGCTTGGAGACAGGCTCTTAAAATAGCACAATCATTCAAAGATGCAGAACACAGAAGAAAGACAACCAAACAATCACTCAAAGAAATCTGAGACTGTGAGAAATGAACTAACATACAAATTAAAGGCTCCTTGAGGGAGCAGAAAAAACTAAAAGCATGAAAAATATTTTTTCAGGAATTATAGGAGAAAACCTCTCTAATATTGCAAGAAATTCAGACATCCAAAAGCAAGATGATCATAAAGCACCCAGAAGATGCACAGCAAATAGGATATCTCCAAGATATGTCAACTCGGCAAAATTCAAAATGAAGGAGAAAATTCTATAAGCAGACAAATGAAGTGCAAAGAAAACCTGTCAGACTAATGGCGGACTTCTCAGTAGAGACCTTACAAGCAAGAATAGAGTGGTGCTCCATCTTCTGTCTTCTGAAACAGAAAAACTTCCTAAGAATCTTGTATCCTGCAAAACTAAGTTACACAAAGGAATCTGACATTACTCATCCTACAGGAAATACTTAGAATAACATTATACATGGATCAGCACAATAGACATCTATCAGTGTAAAATCACCCCAAAACTAAAGTTCATCACTCTTATAAAAAACATAACCACAAGTTGGGAAAAAAAGCAATAAGGTACCATTGCTACATATCAACACTAACATGGTAAACGATCTGAATGTCCAACTAAAAAGAGATAGGCTGAGTGAATGAATAAAAAGCCAAACCAAAGTATCTGGTGAATTCAGGAAACATATCTAACCCACAAGAATTTGCACAGACTCGAAGTGAAGGGACAGAAAAAATATTCCATAGAAATAGAAACCAAGAGAAAGAAGGTGTAGCTATACTAGTATCTGATAAAACAGACAATAAATCATCCATGGCAGAGAAAGACAAACTGGTCGTTATATAGTGGTAAAGAGAGTGATTCAATAAAAAGACATAACAATCCTAAATATATATGTACATAAAACAGGAGCTTCCAGATTCATAAAGGAAATTCTACTAGAGCTAAGCAAAGAGATAAACAGTAGTATTCAAATTACCAGGACACTGGGTAGGTGTTTGAAGTGTAATTCAATATACTGAGGGTGGTGGGTTCAAACCTGGCCCCAGCCAAATTGCAACAAAAAACAGCCAGGTGTTGTGGTGGGCACCTGTAGTCCCAGCTACTTGGGAGGCTGAGGCAAGAAAACCACCTAAGCCCAAGAGCTGGAGGTTGCTGTGAGCTCTGTGATGCCACAGCACTCTACTGAGGGCGACAAAGTGAGACTATGTCTCTAAAATAAATAAATAAATAAATAAACTTAAAGATTGAAATGGGACTCTACCACTACAAATGGACTTAAAAAACATTTATACAAAATTCAACCCCCCCAAAAGTGAATATACATTCTTCTCATGAGATGTTCTCCAAGGTGTGATTATATCTTTGGCCACAAAACAGGTCTCAACGAGTTTTAAAACATCCAATTCATACCATTACTTATCAGACTGCAGTGGGATAAAACTAGAAAACAATTCCAAAGAAACAACAAAATTTATACAAAGTACTGGCAATTAAACAACCTTGCTGCTAAACAACTATTGGTGTCAAGAATGAAATTGAGATGGAAATCAAAAGATTCTTTGAACTGAACAGCAAAGGGGACATAAGATATCATAATCTATGAGAGTCCATAAAAGCATTCCTCAGGGGAACATTCGTAGACTTAAATATCTACATCAAAAAGATAGAAAGATCTACTATCAACAACCTAATGCCACCTCTCAAAGAACTAGAAGAGGAAGAACAAACCAAACACAACGCCAGCAGAACAAATACCAAAGATTAGAACAGAGTGAAATGAATGGAAAACATAAAGTAATACAGACGATCCTCAAAAAGCGGATTCTATAAAAAGACAAACAAAACTAAATGATCTCTTGCTAAGTTAACCAAAAACAGAAGAGAAAGGACACAAATTAATCAGAAAAGGGCGACATTACAACTGATACCACAGAAATATTAAACATCAGCCATGGATACAAATCAAAGACTCCATACCATACACAATATCTAGAATGGACATAAAAGACCTAGGAATACACTTAACAAAGAAGGTGAAAGATCTCTACAAGAATTAGAAAACAATGATGAAAGAAATCACAAATGGCACAAATGGAAAACACCTATGCTCATAGTTTGGTAGAATCAACTTAAAATGTCTAGACTGCGCAAAGTAATTTATAGATGTAATGCACCTCCCAGAGTAACACTATATTTTTCAGAACTAGAAAAAAATAATCCTATGCTTCATTCAGAACCAAAAAAAGGCCCCAAAGTGCCAAAGCAACCTTAAGCATTAAGAACAACCACCACATGTATTCACTATTAAATTGAAATGAATGAGTACACATGTGCACCAAGGAATAGAAAAGTCAGTGGTAATCATACAGGGAGGACAGGGAGAAAGGCAAAATCCTACCTGCCATGTAAAATGAACACTAACTGTGTGATGAGTATTCTAACAGCCCTGACCTAAGCATTATAAAAGCTATCCATGTAACAAAAATATTGGTATGTAAAAAAGAAAACTAAACGAAATTGCTTCTGAAATTATAGTGTAATTTTCATCCTAAACATAGACAAGAGGATACTGGGTATGAAGCAATATGAAAATGGTCAATAAACATTATAATTCAAGTATGCTTATTACATAGAATGGATAATAGTAACATGGATAATATATTAATATGGACAATAATTATAAACTAATTAGCAATAGCAAATAATACAAAATAAATTGAAAAATCATTCTTCTTTATATAATGAATTATAAATTGCCAAATTTGAAAGCATTTTATAAAGATATTTCTATTAATTTTTATTATTTGTAATAAATAATAATTTATTATTGGGTAGAATTGTATGTTTATTTTTGAAATCCCTAAAAGCAGGGATTCATTGTATTTTATAAATAGCTAAGAAGCTTACAGGGCATTTTCATTCAACTTTTTTTTTTTCTTTTTTCCAGTCTCCCATAACATACCTTAGTTAATCTGCTAGAAGCTTCACAATTACGATCTGTACATGGCTTGGGTCCTTTTTCAGTATCTAGAGATGAAACTGAGAAAATATATTAGATTTTATCAGGGGTCTAATGTTCTTTATGAGAATATTTAAACTAACTTTTGAAAAATGAAACAGAAAATTTGTTTAACACTTCTCTTCCACTTACTTTTCTAATGCTAAGTCACTCTTTAGCAAAAAACCTAAGCCAAGTATTTACATTATGTAAGTCAGGAAAACTTCACTTATAAAGTGAACTGAAGAATTAATCAATATTTATGATAGTGAATGTCTGATTTCATAAAATTTGAACAATATAATTTTTCCATCTTTTATAACATACATGTATATGTATGTATGAATGTGTGTGTATTCCTTCAGTACTCTGTTTAATTCTACCTATATAATATACTATGTGTCATTTGACTAACTCAAATTGAAGGGTATTCAACATTTTATTTTCTCTCCCATATACTGGAAGAAGAGTTATCTTGGGTTACACATTAAATAAACAAACACTAAACAAAGTTGATCAGCAAAGAAAAAGTCCATGCATACTTTTTGTGATATCCAACACCATACGTAAGCAAAAAAGTCCTCCTAAAATCAGAATGCAGTCCATAGGCAGCAGGTTGGATCCTTCTGAACTAAATTCTTAATCTCCATTTACAAAGTGACAGAGGTATGGCAAACCATGCACAATATTGAAATGGGATTGACCACAGTAACTAAAATGTGATAGTGACCATGGTAACTAAAATGATAAACACATTCATATTGGTATGCATTCCTTTATTTAACAAACCACTGCCAGGAGTCTACTCTGTGCTATATAGTCTCAGGTATTTGATAAGTGAAGAAAACCAACAAAATCCCACTAGATTTAGCAATGTGTAAATGAGTAATGTCTTTGTAAGACCATCTGAGAAAAGTTCCTATAATACTACCAAGCCTTAAAAATCAAAGAAATATAAATTCAAATGTTTTCATTAATTAATATTTCTAAATTATAGCATCAACGTCAATGCCACAAAGCTCAAAAGCCTTAAGTTACCCATCCCATGCAACAAAATACATGAAAAAAATGTTATTTCGAGTCCTAGGCATATCACTAATAAACAGAGACATAACAAGGTGCCCATAAAGATTGGAAAATAAAGAAGAGAGAACTGACACCAACAGCAAGGTGAAGAAGAGAATTTCAGGCCACACTTTCCCTAGAAAAATGAACAAAAGTGATCATAATCAACTTTTGCCAGAACTCTAAAAAATTATCAAATGTTTACAATCAAATAAATGCTAAATTAGCAAAACATAACTTAAACACAGTATTTAAGAAAATCTCTGTCAAATCACTTTCTAATGAAAAAGGTTAATGATAGAGACTCCAAAGGCTAAAAAGGGAATGAAAGTTAAAATTAATAGAAAATAGACTTTAGATCATCACAATAGATGATGTAGATACAATAGAAAAGTTAAAAATCAAATAACTACAACTCACACAAGTAGTAAGAGAAGAGGTAGAAGCATTTGATTTCAAGAGTATACATTAAAATATTTAAAAATGTAAAAGTTTTACAGAAAAATAGGCATGCAAAGAAAAAAGAATTTATAGACCATTCACAGAGAACAAAAAAATAATAGAAATTATCCCTGAGGAGGCACAGATATTGGAAGTATAAGACAAAAAAAATCTGTATCAACTACCTCAAGTATCCTCAAAGAGCTAAAGTAAATCATGGGTAAAGAAATGAAGAAAATAAGAAATATGATGTCTTTACAGAGAATAATAAAGCAAAAGAACTATTATAAATAGGAATCTAATAAATAGTAAATACTCGGGAGTAGAAAACTGTAACAACTGAAAAGAGGAATTCACTAAAGATTTTCTAACAACCTTTGAAAAAGGTTTGAGCAGGCTGTATAAAGAATCAGTGAACAGGGCAGCACCTGTGGCTCTCAGTGAGTAGGCACTGGCCCCATATACCAAGGGTGGTGGGTTCAAACCCAGCCCCAGCCAAACTTCAACAAAAAAAATAGCCAAGCGTTGTGGCAGGCACCTGTAGTCTCAGCTAAATGGGAGGCGGAGGCAAGAGAATTGCCTAAGCCCACGAGCTGGAAGTTGCTATGAGCTGTGACGCCACAGCACTCTACCAAGGGCGACAAAGTGAGACTCTGTCTCTAAAAAAGAAAGAATCAATGAACTTGAATATAGCTCACTGAAATTTTCCAGTCAGAGAAGAAAGAAAAACAATCGTGGATAAATGAAGAATCGTGGATAAATGAAGAGGACCTAAGAGATCTGTGGACAATGTCAAGTTTACCAACAAATACATAATGCACAGAAGGAGAGATAAATGAGAAAGGGAAAGGAAGAATATTTGAAGAAATAATCACAAAAATTGCTCAAAGTAGATGAAATACATGAATCTACATATAAGTACAAAATCAACAGAATCAAGAAAGGGTAAATGGAATTTCAAACTGAGACACATTGTAATCAAACTATCAAAAATCCAAAATAAAGAATCTTCAAAGCAGGAAGAAAGAAGCAATTTGTCATATATAAGGGTCACCAATAAGATGAATATCAAATTTCTTATTAAAAACCATGAAGCTAAAAGGCAATGGAAGGCCATTATTTAAAGTTCAAATATAAAAATACTTTCAACCAAGTATCTTATACCTGGCAAAACAAGTCTTCAAAAGTGAAGGAGAAATTAAGAAATTCAAAAAGTAAATAAGAGTGATGAACAATAGTAATTTGATGTTACATAAAAAAATAAATAACAGAGATAAAAGTAAGTATAACATATAAATATTATGTGGGTAAATATAAAAGTGGGTATTATTTTTTTTCACTTTTTTCCCCATACGATTAAAATGAAAAATGAATTAAGAAATTATAACATCTACATTAGTGGATACATGAAGTATTATAATGTAAATAGTGACAACAACATAAAAGAGGAAAGAAAAAACTGTATAGGACAATATTGAAATACTAATGTTACTACATTGAAATTAATTCAAACTAGATTGTTCTAACTTTGAAATGCTAATTCTATTCATCAGGGCAGCCACCAACAAGATAAGTAATACTCTCAGAAAATAAAATGATGCTATACAAATAACCAATTAAACATAAAAAAAGGTAGTAACACAAGGATTGAGGAACAAACAAGAAATGAGAAGACTTCAGTTTCTATTCTGACAATGAAGAATCTTCTTAGCTGACACTACTATCCCCAAAATAAACAAAGGAAAAAGTCTGAACAAACAGAAAAATCAACATTTTTAGACCTGTAAGAAAATTGAGGATGCAGGCTAATTGCTGCCTACAAAATTATAGAGGCAGATTGGTGTATACAGTGAATCTCAGCTTACGAGTGGCCAAAGTGGGGAACCATTAACAGTAGAAAAACTTAACCAGGAGTAGGAAACCTGTAGTTTAAGACTACCTTAAATTGAGGAACTGCTGAAGGCTCAGTGTGGGAAAACTCCAGAGTTAAAAACTCTAAGATAGCCCATTCTTAAGGAAGCCTCTAAACTTTCCCGAATATTACTTCCAGAAATCCCTACAGATTCTCAGGATGAAGACTGGGAAAAAAACTCTCTTACAAGGGAAGGAAAAATGTAACCATTGTGAAGTATGCCAAGAGCAAAGCACACGAATTATCTTTGAAATACATCACGTGCATTTTTAACAAAGCCTGCCCTGATGAGATATGTTTTCTAGAGTTTCACTTTTACCAAAGCCTAAATGACTCAAGGGAAGGGAAATACCAACTCTTCTATCAGTGTATACTGGAGAAGAGAAAAGCCCCTCTGAAGGTATCAGACAAAGGACACAATTTCTTTAAAAACTTGAGAGTTGAAAGGCAGAGCAAGATAGTGGACTAGTAATATCTCTTTTGCAGCACTTGATGTAAGATCAGGGAGAAAAGACTTCAGCCACCTCTAGCTGGGGAGCCCTGCCCAGAAACATTGCTTCACAGTCACAGGGAAGCAGCAGGGCACTCCAGGAGCCAAGGAAAAGGTGGGGAGCAGTGGAGAACTGGCACAAATGTTGAGTTCTTGCATACTGGCAGGGGCGGGCCAGTTCAGTGGTAGTTTTCCAACAGAGAAGGCCTTTTTTTGTGCGTGTATGTGAACCTGGAGTTACCTTGGGAGAGCTGGGGTAAGCAAGTGATCTTGAACAGCACCATGGGCCAGGACTGAGCCACTGAGCAGAGCAGAGCTCTCAGCCACATGCAACCATTGTAGGAGAGCTGCCTTGCAGGATTAGCTCTCAGGCTCCTAGTGTAGGGCCAGTTCTGATATGCCTGCTGAGCTAGGTAGCCATCAGTGGAGAAACCCAAGCAAAAACCACTTTCATGGGAAAGCCACTTTGTGGCCAAGGGACACGGTTTGGAAAGGTCAAGTCATGTCTATTAAGTAGGCTGCTGAGAGCTTAAGGCTCCCAGCCCTGTGGGGATCGATGGCAAAGACATCAAGATGATGAGACCGGGTCTCTATACAGCTGTATAATTAGTATCTCACACCCCCGAACGGTGCCTGTTGTCTAGGCTATATATATGTGTGTGTGTGTGTGTGTGTGTGTTTCATTCTTAAAATTTTTATGTGTGTGTGCATTTTTTTCATTCTTAAAATTTTTTTTCAAATTTTTCCCATGAAATTCCCTTTATTTTTTTCTTTTTTCCCTTGTATTCATAATTTTTCATTGTTTCCCTCTTCAATACTAAGGGTTCTATTTTTGCCAGTTTTCCTGCCCTGTTATTCTTTTTCTTTTTTCATTTTTTTCCCTTAAGAACTTTTGTTTGTTTCTTTCATTTTAATGTACTTCTATTTTTCCATTTTTATTTTCTTTAATATTAAGGGCTCCATCTTTGCTCTAGATTTCCCATTCCTTTTATTCTTTCTTTCCTTTCCATTTCTCTCCTTTAGTCTCTTTCTGTAATAATTTTTCTACTTTTCTTATCTTTCCCACAGAAATTTCTCAAGTAACAACTAAGATATACTTCCATCTTTTTTTTTACATATTAAAAATAATTTTA